AATACCCAGTATAGTTCTAAAGATTATACGGAAATATACAAGAATATATATAAATATGTTTAATAAAATACTAGATATACTACAAATATATAAGCACTATAAAGTTTATATAAACTAGACCTGGAGTTAAAAAAATAAAAATAAAAATAACCAATACAACCCTTACGGGTGCTTGCTTGGATTCAGTACTATTTAGAGAAAGTATTGTATGTTTTTATTAGAAATAATTCATTTTGTCACACTTATGGGCACTAAGTACGAGAGCTGAGTGAGGCACATTCATAGTATGAATTCATACCATATCAACAATACAATAAAACAAAAACAAATGTTAATGCAAGCTTGTGAGACCTAACTAGCTCAATAAAAATTAATGAAATTTCAGGAATAAATATATACAAATCAAATTTTTATATATTATTTCTCAAATTTGTTTTATTTTCAATAGCCATATTTTCGTCAATTTTTCATAAAATCTTAAGATTGATCCACCATTTAGAAGATTATCTTCTCCATGGCAAGCACATTTCCCACAAAAGTAACGAAAAAAAGTTATAAAGAAAAATAAATTTTATTTAGCATAAATGCATGCAATTCACATTTCATCCCACCAATATTCATTTTCAAAATTACTGATTTATCCACAAAACAAAAAAAAAAAATAATAAAATCATGAAAATCGCAGCTTTGTTTTTTAGCAAAGACATACCCAATTGTAATTGTTACCCATGTTTCGGTTTATTTCTTTAGAATTAACTTATTTTCATAATTTCTTTTATCATTTGTCCACTGACCAATATACTATAAAAATCATTCACACGGGCCAACTAGTATAATTATATTTTAAAAAATTTAATTTTTTATACTACGAAATATTTTTTTATTCGACTGAAGAAATAATTTAAAATAAGAAGTTTGAATACAAATAAAATAACAACAACATATTAATGCTAGAAACTTAATATACTATCGAATAAATGATTTTATTAAATAAAGAAAGCGAACCTATTTGATTGATTTGGCCTTATCTGAATGGACCAATCTGTTTGATAGATCCAAAGACCCATTAAAAGAACACTGGCTCCACATTAGCCTTATCAAGGACAACCATTATAGACAGTAATGATTCAGTAAGGTGGATACATAGATACCACTGGAGAGTTTATATATGAATTAGTAATTATTAAATGTATAACACATAATGTAAACATAAACATATTAATTATGATCGCATAATTTACACCAGATTAGGTTTATGACAATTTAAAAAAAAAATAGAATTGGAAAAAGACAGAATACGATTTTTACAATACAAGTAAGCTTGGAACATGAAATGTTTCGTATATATTTTGCCATTAGTGAAAGTTTTTGTTTAGATTGTGTGTAATTCTAAACATTTGCTACTTCATTATATAAAGACAGCACTATAATCCGATACTATTATCCGGAAGAAAGTCTAATTTTCAATTGTACAATTTTTTTTTCTATATTTTTCTATAATATTCTTAGAGACATGAGCATTTACATTTATTAAAAATTGTTTTATTTTTTTTATAATTTTTGGTTAATGACAATAATTCTTAAATGTTATGTAAAAACAAACATTATCGCCTGATAAATCTTAAATTGCTACTGATTTAAAAATTATGCACTGGTTAGGATAAGAAATATTAATTCGGATCTAAAAAAAAAAAAACTAGTTTGAATTACTGAAATATTTACATAACGCTTAAAAAAAAAAAAAAAAACTGTTAGTCAGTATGCAATTGGAAGATCCTAATACATTTTCTTAAAACTCCAAGATATAATATATCACTCTATGCTACTGAATTATGTACTCAATGTAGGGAAGCAGTTAATGTATTTGAGTCATCTCTATCTCATTCCTACTAATTTTATCATCATATTTACTTGTTATAATTTTTATTTATCAATTCTTTTTTATTTTTCATAAACTTTGTTTGTTTTTTTTTACTCTTCTCAAATGAAGATTTGGCCGAAACATCAGCACACAAGAGGACATTTCTTATATTTTGGAATTTCATCTATGACTGCCCCCTAAACTATATTTCTCATCATAGCTAGAGAATAATGGTGCGGTATGGAGTTGGCAAGTATACATACTAAATCATGTTGTGGCACAGTTTTTCACCTTGAAGTGGCTCCATGGATTCAGTAGATAGGCGCCAGTCTAGTATGTGTCGGGCCAACGGTAGTTATGATTTTTTTTCATTATTATCTTCTTTTATATACGATATAAAATATATACGATGCCTGCAGAATGCTGTAGAAGTATGTTTTAATTTTCAGATAACCTTTTATTGTTAGTTATTATTTTATATTTTATAAAATAGTTAATGGTGAGAAATCATACACTGATTTCCTATTGTAGTGTAGAGCTCTTTTCTGATAACCCTAGTAATTTTAGAAAAAATATTGCATAAGAATTTGTATAAATACTATGTTGATTTTTTTAGGAATAGCAGTTTCATTCATTTTTCGCATAGAAGTGATATTCTTTTTGTCAAGCAGTAAGCCTTTTTTTTTTTCTGTTAAAACGAAAATTACGGATTGTTTTTATTTATTTATTACATATTGCTGATAACTATCAGAGATAGATAGATAGATAGATAGATAGATAGAAAAAAACAACTTTATTCTGGGACTAATTCCCTTCAGAATAACAATAATTTACAAAATAATAGAATATTACTGGCCTAAACGTTGAAACAATAAATAAGATTGATAAAATAAAATAAAAAGTAAAGAAAACCTTACGTGCACAAGCTATATACAATACAGATAAAACTATGTACAGAGCATTTAAAATTATGAACAAAACAATTAAAACTATGAACGAATCACTTGAACTATGAACAAAATTATATTTAAGGGTTGAACAACATAAACATACACTTTGAGAAACGAAGAACGAAAAAGAGATACAATGAGTTCATTTCATAAAAAAAAAAAAAAAAAAAACTTTACTTGAATATATATATATATATATATATATATATATATATATATATATATATATATATATATATATATATATAAAAAGCAGTTAATTATAATTGAATAAAAAAAAATGTATGTATTGAAATTCCTATGTCGATAGTATGAAATGCATGTACTATCTCTTACCAAGTATTATGATTATATGATTGCTACAGATTGCTACACAATACATATATAATATTAATAGTTAGCTGGTATCTGACTGTTTTTGGAAGGGGCACGTCGAATTTTGATCGGGAGGGAATTCCAAAAGTTGACAGAGCGGGCTATAAAGGAATTTTTGAATGAGGCAGATCTATGAGAAGGGATGTATAGGTCAGAGGGTCGGGATCTTGTAGTGAGGGAATGGATTGAGGACTTAAATAGGAAAAGGTTGTAGGCATAAGAAGGACGATGATCAGTAATGATTTGATAAAGGAAAGTGCCTAGGCATACATATTTCGTACTATTATATTAGTAACTGTATTAGGCATACAGAGATAAACATATTTCGTACTTAATATGGAATAAGAAGATAGAAAGTGTAGCACAAGATAGTGTATTACTTTATATGCAGTAAACGTAAATAAATAATGTTTAAAAATAGTCAATATAAGCTTTATTTGGAATAGAATTCACTTTTACATAGATAGATATAGCATATATGAGTTCTTTTTTAATTTAATTTTCTTTAAGTTATTTTATTTGTATTTATTGTATATTCTTAATGATTATCATTAAATCCTTATTTTTCCTCTGTTTATTTAATATTTTAGTGTATAGTTATTGTGAATGTGGTCTTACATCGCTATAACTATTGTCCAATAGATAAAAAAAAGTGATAAAGTTAATCAAGTACTGATAAATAACTTTATAAAACGGACTTATGGTACTAACTGTAATATACCCACATTTAATAATTATTTTTACAAAATAATTTTTAAGTTAATTCAAATTATGCGAATTATAGAATAATACACACGGAGTGTCATACAAAAATAATTTTATTTGACATGAAGTCTAATGAAAATATTTTAATAACAATAAATGCGTTGATTTATATATAAACAGTAATTTCAGAAAATTGTTAATGAATTATTTGAGTACTGAGTATGAAATTTCAGATAAAAAAAAAAAAAATTAATCAAAATATATATGAAGCTATATAAAATTATATTATAGGTACTGGGATAATGAAGCCGGCATGGTATTAAGGTAGTTTGCTTGCCACTTAAGCCCTAATTGCTTAATAAATCTCTTGTGGTAGATAAGGTGGATAATTTAAACTTCCGCAATTAGTTTAGTTAAACTATTTATTTAGTGTAATTGAATGGAAGGGTTCCTGCAGAGCATGCGTAATTTATTTAACGCAAGATCTGAATCTCTGAAAAAAATATCAATCCCTTCCTCCTTGAGTTGAAAGAAGAAATAAGTATAAAAATTGGTTGGTGATTTTTTTTAAATATTAAAATATGTACAATAATACTTTATATATATCTGAATAAATAGCGTATATGAAAATACGCTTACATGACTTCTTAATGATTAATAAAAGCATGAATAGTTTTACGACTCATACAGATTTTATAAGAATGAATAGAATCCTTAGGAATAATTTTAGCAGTGAATTCAGGCAAAAAAATAATAAAAAATAAAATATACATCAGAGAATTTTTTTTTCAAAAGCGGTAAGCTACGATGTTTTGATAGTCCTTGTAAAAAAATAAAGAAAATAGTATCAGGTCATTGAAATACTAAGTTCCCTTCCAGCCTTCGAAGGGTGCACATCGCGGTTTGCGGCTTTGATCTCAGTACAATAGGCCCACTGTTGTTTGGTTTCCGAGAAAATAAGTTTATTTACTTTCGTGTGTCTGGTTTCCAGGGACTGATAAGCTTGCTATCTTTCTTACCCAAGTGTCTTATAGTGAAAATGTGTTCTCTTCAAAGGAATAATCTGTTTGTATAGTTTTTTTTTTAAAGTGAAAACAGACACTTTACTTATGAGTGCACGCCAGTTAGCTGGCTCGAGTGGACTGTCGGATCAGGCCGTTTTGTCAAAACTGCTGAAGAGAAAGGTAAGATCCACTTCAAGTATTTCATCGAAAGACGGGACAAATGAGAAAAAGAGAGCGAGTTCAAACAATTCTGTGATAAAAACAACATCAAAAAATCCTAAACAAAAGCAAACATATGTTAATTCACATAACCTCCCTAACTCCACGAATACTGAAATGAATACTTTAATTATTGAAAATAATAACTCTGCGACCCATATCATTGAATCTATACTAGAACATGATGTTAACAACACTGGAGTACCAGAAAATGCTGTTCAGAGTTCAAATGCAACAAATACACCAACAACAATAAATAGTATCCCTAACGTTCCAGTCAGTAATAGGTTTGAACCTCTTTCTACGGAAATGGAAGACGAACCTGACGAAACAATAGTTACTCATCAACCACCTCCAATTAAAATAAAAGGCATAACAAACTTCCAAACTCTCTGCACGAATTTAGTAAGCCTTTTAGGAGAAAATAATTTTGAATGTTTCTCTAACAAATCGATTGTTACTTTAAAAATTAAAACAAGTGAAGCCTATAGAGTCTGCATTAAATATTTAGAAACCAACAATTACAACTTTCACACTTATCAATCCCAAGAAGACAAACCATATAGGTTTGTTATTAGAAATCTCCATTATTCAACACCACACGAAATGATAAGATATGACCTTGAAAGAAAAGGATTCAACATCCGTCTCATCACTAATGTGTTACACCCGAGATCAAAAGAACCACTCCCACTCTTCTTTGTTGACTTAGAGCCAGCTCCAAACAATGCTGAAGTTTTTAATATCACTAATTTGGCTTACACAAGAGTTAGGATTGAAGAACCTTACAAAAGAAGAAGTATTGTTCAATGTATGAGATGCCAAGAATACGGGCACACCAGAACATTTTGCCATCATAAACCACGATGTGTGAAGTGCGGTCAAGATCATCCTAGTGATAGGTGCCAGAAACCACTTGAAGAGCCACCTGTTTGTGCGTTGTGCAGTGGCAATCATCCTGCGAACTATAGGGGATGCATAGTGCATCTAGAGCTGCAGAAAAGAAGACTCAACGTGTGGAACCAGGCCACTTCGAGTAGAGAGGTAACAGAACACCTGCCTCCAGAGGCGGAACACGACCGACTTACTTACACCGTCCCTATCTCGCAAAAACTACACAACACGACTTACGCACAGGCAACGTGTACTAAAACTACATATCACAACACAACACCACAATTCACAACTGCTCAAACAACGAGTGTAACTCCTCACTACGCAATCTCTCACAATATAGCTCCTCATCATACAACTCAAATTACAAATCCCAAAACTTCAAATGAATCTTCTCGTTATGTAATCCCTCACAATATCATTCCATATCATGTAGCTCCTCAAATTACAAATCCCCAAACTTCAAATATATCTCCTCACAACACCATTTCTCATCATACGACTCCTCAAATTACAGATCCTCGAACTCCAAATATATCTCCTCAATACACTACTTCTCATACTACAAGTATAACTCCTCAGCACTCAATAAACCAAACGAGTATAATCCCTGACCGTTCAGTACCTCATTATACCCAATCTCAATACATACCGAATCAATACACGTCAACCTCATACTCAAGACCTCATCACACAACATCTAATACACAACCTAATACTCCAGATCTCTCATTATATTTTAATTCCTTCTTAAACGATTTTAAATCTATGATAACTCCGCTCATCACTCTTCTCACCACGCTAATTACCAAATTTATTCCTCATGTTAGTCCCTAATTCTATCTCACAACACTCTCTAAAAATCCTTCTTTGGAATTCAAATGGAGCCCTACACCGAAGGAATGAACTTGACATTTATTTACATGAAAATGACATTGACATTGCATTACTAACAGAAACTCATTTTACTCAAACTACAACATTTTACATACAAGGGTATGTATTGTACCGCGCTGACCATCCCAGCGGTACTGCCCGTGGTGGCTCGGCAATAGTCGTAAAACGAACATTATACCACTATCCTCTTCAAATGACTGCCTTACCAGAAATTCAATTATCATCTATTTCGGTTGAAATCGATCACACCAAAATTTCTATTGCCAGTGCATATTGTCCTCCGAGACAAAGAGTTTCACAAGAAACGTTTACAGACATACTTGGCAGCTTAGGACCTAAATTCTTATGTGGAGGCGATTTTAACGCCAAGCATGCCCGTTTCGGCAATAGGACCAATAATTCTAGAGGAAACTCTCTTTTTAATACATGTATAGAACTGGACTATAACTGCATACTACCACCTGAACCGACTTACTGGCCGACAGACATAAACCGTCAACCAGAATTACTTGATTTCTTTATAACTTCTAGCCTACACACACTACACCATCATATCTCTATTAGTAACGACTTATCATCAGACCATTCAGCGGTTATTTTATCTCTCTCTAGACACATGTTTACTATCAACCACACACCTACACTAACTCCTGGACCAATATTAATTGATAAATTTCATTCCATTATTAATAAGACTATTGATCTAAACACAAGATTAAAGACGGAAAATGATATTGACAATGCAGTAGAGACGCTTACTAAGACTATACAAACTGCCGCTTGGCAATCAGCACACAAGTACGAGACCAACCGCGACAAACAGTACTTACCCCCGGAAATACGATCACTTCTAATTGAAAAACGACGTGCTCTCAACCAATGGAAAAGATCTCGCTATCCCAGTGACAAACAGATACTAAACGCACTTTCTAACAAACTTAGAAAACTTATACAACAATACAAACAGGAAACTTACAAAAAACATCTGACCACCTTACAGACAAGTAACAATACTCTCTGGCAACAAACCCGAAAGATACTAGGGTACCACCAAACAAAGACTCCTCTCCGTAAACCAGACAACTCATGGGCTAGAAGCGATAAAGAGAAAGCAGACTTATTTGCTACTCATCTTACAGACGTATTTCATCCACATGAAGAGTTGCCTGACCAACAGCACTGCTCAGACGTCCAACAAATCCTAATTTCTCCTCTTCCCCTTTCTCTACCTCCTTCCCCTATAACTCCTTCGGACATAGAATTTTGTATTAAAAAATTACCTCGCAGAAAATCTCCTGGCTTTGACCTAATCACCCCTAAAATTGTACGACTTCTACCCAAAAAAGCATTAATCTTCCTGACAGCTATTTACAATTCTATCCTTCGACTTACTTACTTTCCTCTAGTATGGAAATTTTCAATCATAAAAATGATACCGAAACCAAGCAAACCTTTAGACCAAGTCACGTCCTATAGGCCTATCAGTCTTTTACCCTTATTTTCCAAAATATTTGAAAAATTATTATTAAAACGGCTCTATCCATTTTTAGAAGCAAACAATGTTATTCCTAATCACCAATTTGGATTTAGACCTGCACACTCTACTATACAACAATGTCATAGAGTGATTGATACAATTGCTGTGGCATTGGAAAAGAAGGAATTTTGCACAACAGCTTTCTTAGACGTCTCACAGGCCTTTGATAAAGTGTGGCATGATGGTCTACTTTGTAAAATTAAACCAATCTTTCCGCATACATATTATTTAATAATCAGATCGTATCTTGAGGATAGATTTTTTATTGTTAGTCAGGATGGTAAATACTCCGACTATTGCCGAATCGGCGCGGGAGTACCGCAGGGCAGTATTTTAGGTCCGGTTCTGTACTCAATTTACTCTTCTGATATTCCACAGACACCGGACACATTACTCGCAACTTACGCAGACGACACTGTCATACTCTCGACTGACTCTAATCCGATCACAGCATCTCAGAAAGCACAGATTCATTTAAATCTTCTACAAGACTGGCTTGATAAATGGCGCTTAAAAATTAACATTCAAAAATCAAACCAGGTTACATTTACACTTAAACGTTCGGATTGCCCTCCACTGACACTTTACAACACCCCTTTGCCAAATCATACTGAGACAAAATATCTAGGACTCACAATGGACAGACGACTGACCTGGAAATCACACGTGACTACATTAAAAAAGAGATTGAACCATCGGTTATCACTACTAAGACGAATGCTACACCATAAAAACAAACTATCACTTTCTAACAAAATTACTATATACAACATGCTACTCAGACCAATATGGACGTATGCCTCTCAGGTGTGGGGTTCATGCAAAAAAACACACTTACAGACTATTCAAATTTTCCAATCTAAATTTCTCCGGTATATCACTCATTGTCCCTTCTACATAACCAATAAATCACTTCATAAAGACCTACAAATATCACAAGTGACTGATGTAATTAAAAAATATTATAAAAGTTTCCATGACTCCTTAGCTGGACATCCTAATCCACTTGTACAAACATTGCTAACAGACACACTACCACAGAATCCACCAAGGAGACTCAAGCGCCTCTGGAGCAGAGATCTGCTGCGTCAGGAGTCACGTTAGGAGTGCCTTCACTGGGAGGCTTCTCCAATCACGTATTCACGCTAATCCCGGAGAGGAGGTTCGCTAACGAACATCACATTTACAAAATATGCCAAAAGGCATTTGTAAAATTGCTCAATAAATAAATTTATTATTTATTATTATTATTGAAATACTATTATAGACAAAAATGAATAGATCGGTTCTGATTCACTCTAGTTATCCTTTATTAAGATTCATTCTAGTATCTGCCTGTATCTCTACATTCAAAAAAATTTAAAGAAATTTCAATTTTTTTATCTAAAGAGGCTGAAATCTGCACTGCACTGTGGTTTCGTAAGTTTCATAAAATTTGAGAAAATGAGAGATTAAGAAAAAAAGTTAAAAGATTTAGACAATACAAAATTTAAAACATATCGTTTCTGATTTAAAAATGAGATATAAATAAACTTTGACTGTTATTCAATGTAATTAAAAAAAAAATACCGAATATGTAATTAAATGACTAGTAATTCATAATGATCACAGCAGTATATTATAAATAGAAGTCTAGAAATAAATTGAATAAATTTCTCAGAAATCTGTAATTGAACTCTACTGTTTTTTTAATTTGTAGTCGATTGCCTAACCATATTTTTTAGGCATCTGGATCATCCTATTTTATTTCTATCAAATAGAAGCCAAAATAAATGTCGTTTGTAATTTGGTATTTCTATTCAGAAATATCTTGAGCTATTTCTATAGATTGTGACTCCTATTTTGAAATGATAGTAAACGTATCACGTATAGTTTTTCAATATATTTTTTTTTAATACAATAAAAAATTATTAATTATTTGTAGTTTTTGCGGTTTATATACATATATATATATATATATATATATATATATATATATATATATATATATATATACAATAGTTTAAATATATATATATGTAACTCTCAAGAAAAAGAGGATACAATTTACTTTTTGAGGACTTGTCATATATACAGTGAGTTAAGAGAGAAATGTTTTAGGCAGCGGACCTGTTCTCCGGAAGAATTATATAGTTTCTTAAAGGGTTCCAACTGGAAAGCCTTAAGCAATTATGTACAGCAGGACACATTGCAAAGATCTCAATTGGTCAGATAGTAAACTATTGATACAATATCGTATTTATTTATTGTAACGTTTGTTTTATTGTTATATTGTATTTGATGGTTATCATTATCGTTGTTGAAATTAAATTTCTTATTTATTTGATTTGTGGTGTATTTATGTTTGTTTTTTTGAAAACTCTTTTTAAACAAATGAAACAGTGAAGGAAGAAATTGCTAGAATGGGTGTATAAATATACAATAATACTGTGGATATATTATTACTCACTTATTTTAGTTATAAGTGTAATGAATATTTATTAATAATTCCACACATACCTCGACAGACGGAATTTTCCATTGTCTATGTGTTGTTGTTTGTATAAGTATATATATATTTTAATGTATATTGTTTTTGAAAGTACAATAAACACGTTTTCATTCATATATATATATATATATATATATATATATATATATATATATATATATATATATATATATATATATATATATATATATATATATATTTATTTATTTATTTTTATTTTGGCATTCTAGAAATTGTAGATGTTTCTCGGTTAATCCAGAATTCTCCATCTCCACCTATTCTGGCTTAAGTTTTTCAATTGTCAGAATGCAGTTCTACGGCAACTTTATTGATTCGATCTACCCTTCTGTTTTTTTTTTTGGTTCTACATGGTCTCTTGTCTATTATT